GGTTGGATCGGCCGCGAAATTTTTCGAGCGTGCTCATCTTGCTGGAGTTGCTCGTGATAAGTTCTTCGAACTTTCTTTTCACTGATCCCACGGATAGGTTCCTCGTAGAGCCGCCGGAGATGACCATGGCTCTCGGGAAGTATTCCCATCGGCTGGTGGATTGTACTGGTTCGTCGTGCAGGTCAGGGCCGTCGAGGAGGCCGAACTCTCTATCAGCGAACCAATCCTTGGGGCGGCTGACACATAAGGCGACCTGGAGTCCGTTATCGCCGTCCGAAGAGGGGAGCTCTTCGACTTTCTTGGCCTCGGGAGCTTCTTGCCTCGGGGTTTCTCCCCCCGGGTGTATCTCTTCAGGTGGCCGTCCTTAATCAGGATTTTGATCGCGTCCTTGAGATGGATGCAGTCTTCTGTCACGTGCCCGTGGCTCCTGTGGAAACGGCAGTACTTCGATTTGTCCACATTGGGCTTGGGGGTGTCGGCATGGGGAAGCGAACACCTCCCTGGATAAATTCGGTCTTGGCGCATTCGGCCAGTATGCGCTCGCGGGAAGCGACTAGGGTCGTGTACTCCGTGAATCTACCGGCGGGGCCACGCTGTTCGTGTTGTTCGCGAGGGCGATCTTCCCGTCGGTGATCACTTCCACGCTGGTGGCTCGAAGCTCCGTCGTCTCGGTGCCCGCGGGGGGTCTCCCTGTCTCGCGTGTCTCGGGCGGAGTTGGCTGCTTGAGTTTCTTCGAACCGGATATAATGCGCGGCTCTGTCGAGGAAGTCCTGCAGAGATGCTGGTTGGTGTAACCCCACCGCCTCATAGAACTCGGAATCGCGGCGCAGGCCCTGCTCCATTAAGTAACGCTTCATCTCGTCTGACGTCGTTACCTGTACTGTTTCCCGTGTGAACCTCTCGATGTACTTCCAGAGAGGCTCGTCAGGAGCTTGGATTATAGCGTCGAGCGCGGCTTCCGTCTTCGGATGGCGCCGGGATGCTGTGAAATTTTTTGAGAACAGGTCTTTCAGGACCCTCCACGACGTCACCGATTCTGGCTCCAGACTCTTGTACCACGTCATGGCACCCTTCCTCAGGGTTGTCGGGAATAGTCTGCATTTGATAGCCCCTCGAACGTTTCAGTAGTCGAGCATGACCTCGATGTCTTCCAGGTGATCGTCTGGGTCGGAGGTGCCGTCGTATGTCGAGAGTGTCGGGGGCTTTTCCATCCCGTGGGAGATGGGGGCGGCCATGATTTCGCGGGACAAGGGAGTCTTGTAGTCATCTTCGTTGGTGAGAATGGGTGACCGAGGGGGAGACGATCCATTTGGCAGGGGCACCTGGTTTCGGGTCCTCGGCCTCCTGACTGAGGGGTCGATGCGGGGAAGCCCGGTAGGGGGCCCTGCTCTGGCTTGTCGTCTCTGACGACCTTGTCTCGTCGGGGACCTTGTCCGCTCCCGCACTGCTTCGGGTTGGGGCCTCCCGAGCCTCAGTCGTCGATTTCTGGGTTGAGGCGAGGGACTCCTCGAGTTCCCGTTCTGGACTTCCCGCGGGGGGGAGCTCAGCGGGACCTCGCGTTCTAGCGCTCCAATCCGTGTGTTCTGCTGGAATAACAGCTGGTTCGTCTGGTTGATGGCCGCGAAAAGGGCGGCCGCAGTCGGGTCAGCTCCGACCGGGACAGGGACAGGCTGGAACGCTGCGGGGCTTTGGGGCCGGAGGGTTGCCTGGTGCGCGAGTTCCGCGGATGATGGGGACGCAGTCTGGCCGTCCCTCTCGTCGGTCTCAGCTAGGTGGGACGTCTCCGTTTGCTTGCCACTGTTTGCGACGGGGGTGAGGACGAAATCGTGAACGGTATCATCGCGGTGCGGGCTAGCCATGATCATGGAGTGTTGGTGAAACTTTGGTTCGCTTGCTCAGAGGAACGGGGAAGTTTCAAATTCCCACAGACGGCACCACTGATCTAACCTGATCAGAAGGGGATCACTGGCTGGCCGCACGCTGTTGGACTGTCACCTGTTCACCGGTGATGAATAGAAGAAAGAGGGTGTACCTGCAAGATACTCTGATGCCAAAGTAAGTAGGGGCAGAGTGATCACAAGCACAGAAAAAGGGGTAAGAAGCGAATTACCTGACCCTCTTGTGGAAGAGGGTATTATAGAAAGACCCCAGCGTTGGACCAACGGTCACTTGCGTTGGGCTGGATGGCTAGGCCCAACCCAGGTGACTGCTAGGACTTACGTGGCGTAGTGAAGACCAGGATGTGGTCTTCGCCCTAGTCCAACTGTCCCTTGATCTCCGGAAAGTGGGTTTGACCTGCTCTTTCGGAGGTGGGCAGTTGGTTGGTGACGTGTCCCCGCGGAGGAGAGCACGTGGAGAACGTGCTCAGGGCATGTTGCTCTCCCCGCGGAGGGGAGCTCGGGAGGTTCCCCGGAGCGTGTTGTTCTCCCCGCGGAGGGGAGCACCTGAAGGCGTGGGAGAGACACGTCGTCCTATTCGTCGGTATGGGGATTTCGCCCGACGAGGGGATGGCGACTGACAAATGTCTTCCCGCGAAGAGGAGGCCGCAGGAGTGTCTTGAAGCACGCTGTTCTCCTCGGTGGGCGCGGACTCTGCCCGTCGAGGGTCCACGTGCCCGGTCATCTCACTAAACTCATACTGGACTTTGTTCTATATACGATTAGGCTGGGCCGCGAGGCGAGGCCTGGCCTAGGCCAATATATATATATATATATATATATATATATATATATATATATATATATATATATATATATATATATATATATATATATATATATATATATATATATATATATATATATATATATATATATATATATATATATATATATATATATATATATATATATATATATATATATATATATATATATATATATATATATATAATTTTTATAGACTATTGCATGTTTAGTTTTTTATTTTTTAGTGTAGTTTATCGTTACTTTATTTTAGTAGCGATTTATTAAGTAAGTGTAGATTTTGTTAGGTTCAAAATATAATTAAATTTTAATGTTGATTAAACTCTACAAACTGGTGGCTTTAGAATCCTAAAATAATTAAATTTTTGTAAAAGATACATCTTGTCTAATTTATAATTTATTAATTTGATATAGCTATCAACTTTTTTGTGTATTATCTTTGGACTATATGTGGTATTTTTGAATTGTATATCGTAATTGATTTTCAATACAAATATGAACTCTATTTCACTTCAAAATGCGTTTGCAAACTAATTATTTTTTGACAAAACGGTTAATTTTTAATAGTAGTATATTTATCTTTCTAAACTATTTCTCTACTTCATAAAATTAAATTAAGCTTAATTGTGATGGTGTTTAAAAAAAATCTACTCCACTACCCGATGTAAAGGCTTGTTTAGAGACTCTTCTAAGAAATTGAGTGATAGATTATACCTAAAGAAGATTAATTTGCGTGATGCTCTGGTCGCAGATATAGACGATGTTGCATGTAATTGAGCTAAAATGACAACAGTGTTACAAATCTAGTGACGCCAAAGTCTTAATAAATATAATTAATCAATAAACGATCATAACTTCTAAACCTTAATTCATAGAATAAAAAAGACGACTAAAAACTATCGACACAAATATACTTGAAGAAAAAAAAAATCATTTCGAAGATTAGATAGTCAAATTATAATTTTACATAAACTTTTCATTCTCTCTAATCTGTCGAATAAATTAAATCTCATTTTAGCAAAATGATAATTATGAAACCTCATTCTCTAAGTATTACAACGTGTCATTAAATTTCTTTTTCATCTCATTTCTTTCTAGACCCTTTTGTACCAAAAAAAAAAATCAATTTAAATGCTCTACGTGAAACCAAACATAGACTAATAATTTCTCAAAACGCAACTTGATTTAACAAGATCCTGAACTGAAAGAAAAAAAAATTAGGATTCGTGTTTTCTTCGAGCTTCAAGTTTTTTAAAACTGAGATAAAAAGCACTACCTATTATAAAATATTATAAAACAAATTCAAAAATTACTATCCAAACTTCAAAAATTACTACTCAAACCCCAAACCTGAACTTTCTTAAATAATTTTCTTTTATAAAAAAATTAAAATAAAAACCACATAATATTTACATAAATTTTAAAATTATATTATTTTAAACATTATTTTATCTTTTATAAATAGTATAATATATAAATTGTATTATTTTATAATTTATAAATAGTATAATGTCTAAATTGTATTCCTATGAATATTAGACTTTTGTATTCCAATGAAAAAGATACTTCTTGGACTAAAAGAACCTTAAAAAATATGGCTTCTAATTCTAAAATCCAAACCCTATCTATATGGACTAGTCCATTTCATTTTGACAGCTATAGTATCACATCTTATTTGAAGTTCAACCACTTTTAGTAGTTGATTGAACCATCATTTTAAATACACACAACACTTTTTTCCCTTATTTTCATAGTTTCACACTTTTAGTAGTACTTACATTATTAGCTATTTTTGGTAAAACTTATATATCTTTACCCTTACATTACCCTATTTCTTTACCTATTTTTGGATTACCCTAAAATATGTCTGCTGCTTTTGCCACGACAAACACTGCATGACAACCATGTGTCCTAATATTCCTGTTTCACTTCACAAATATACAAAAAACACCCAATCCCAAAACTTTTGTAACCATCTTCAATTGAGTAGATTTTTACCACGTATCAAAGTAATAGTCACCAATGAAAAGTAAAGAACAAAAACACATGAATCAAAATATTCCCTTTTATCCAAAATGAAATCCAAATGCACAAATTACAAAATAGTACAATACCAAATTCAGATGAAAATAATACAGCAAAAATAAACATAACAAAATAACATAAACCCTTATTTTTCTTTGACATTTGCAGGGACAAATATGTAATATCGCTCAATTCTTCATATTTACACTTCACTCCACTGAAAATCTCGTAATTCAAAACTCATTCACCATCTTCAAATTCATCACTCTTCTACATCAGTAGCTCATTAACCCAACCGAGATCAGGAACATCACCACCGGCAAAAACCTTATCACTGTTGTTGTTGTTTATGTTATTGTCACCACCATCGTTGAAGCTAATTGGTGTCAAATTCTGTTGAATCGAAGGTGAAAGAATATTGAAATGCTGTTGTTGCTGATCAAAAGATGCAGAAGGTGAAACAAGAAACTGTTTCTGAATCTGTTCCTCGGAGTTAACAGGAACATCAAAATAACCCATGTTGTTTTGTTTCTGTAAACCAGAAACAACTGAAGATGAACCGTCATTGAAATTCAATCCTTCAAAAGAACCCAAAAGATCAATAAGCATATCTCTATAACGAAGATTATTACTATTGACCAATGAACCATAGCGTGAGAGAGACGAAACACCGTTCTGAGGCTTCATCGGAGATACAGGAGGAGATGCCGGCGGCGAGAAATGAGACATACCAAAAAGTGTTGAAGTTGGAGAATTATTAGCATTAGCATTACCATTACCACCACAGTGATGACAAAACAAACAACAATTGTTTGATTTTGATGCAACATGGTTATTAAAAAGCTTGTTATTTTTCTTGTTGCATGAGAATTGTTCATTTGAATTCGAAGACTTTGAAGAATTTACCGGAAGGATTCTTAACTGACGAGGAGTGTGTGCGAAAAAACAAACTTTTCTCTTACAGTTTTTCCCATCTTTGCAAGCTTCTGTTCTGTACCTAGCAGGATGGAGCCAGCATTCAAAAACACCGTGGGCATACTCACAAGAATCACCGCGGTTACAGCCACCGCGGCGATACTCAGGACAAACATTGCCAGAGTAATGAAACCTTCGTGGATCACGGCGGCGTGCTTTCTCGCCGGGGTGTGCGAATGGACAGTCAGTCCAGTCGTGGCTCCGGCTACGAGTGCATCGCCGGACTTTGAATTCGTACATGCGAAAATGGTCGGAAGAGTAAGGATCATCGGAGTCCGAGTCAGAGTCATTGTGAGGGAGATACTTTTGAAGGATGGTGTCATCGGAGAACATGTCAGCGGCGATGGTGCGGCGGGTGAGAAGTTTTCTCGGAGGGATATCGATTTCTCTAAGAGGCTTTTTGGGAGAGAGAGGTTGGTAAGAGGAATGAAACTTGTGGTTTTGTTGTTCATCACAAATAGTACTCATTTTGAGGTGCAAATAGCAAAGGTTGAGGTGCAAATAGAAAAAGAGAAAACAATACTATGTGTATTGTGGAATGTGGAGAGAAAGAAGAGGTGAGAGAGTTATTATATAGGAAGAAGAGAAAGTGAATAGAATGAAATGGAGTGTGAGTTAAGAAAGAGAAAATTAAAGGGTGAGAAGGGGGTGTATGTGGCTAGGTAGCATTTGAGAGTAACATGCAAAAGAGGGTATGTGGCAAATTGTTAATTGATTGGGGTCATTATTTTGGCTATGTGTAAATCAATTACAAGTTCTATGTTCAGAAATATCTGTGCCTTTTTGGTTTTGGTAACAACCATAGGGTGACATGAAAATTCTAGATCACGATATGTAAATGATTTATTTATGTATAAAATACACAAAGAGATATCTATGGAATAGATCTATTTAGTGTTTTCTTAATTTGTTGTCTTTTCGTTTTTGACCCCTTTATATTCCTTCACTTAATACTATATTGAAGTTATCTTACAAACGTTATTCATAACTTTAAAGTAGACTATAAAAATATATAAATTGAGGACAGTATGTTATAACGAGAGATTAAAGATGTAATAAATTTTGATTTGAAACGTACATGATGTCACGTATAAAATTCTGATTTGAAGCAGGCTAAACTATGAAGTTTAACTAGAATTGTTCTAAGTTAAGTAGGGCTGGCAATGAACTAAACCAACTCGAAGATAGTTCGGAATTCGACTCGACAATTAAATCGTTGAACTAGGTTCATGAACCAAATGAGTTGAGTATGAGCGAAAAATTAAGTTCGTTAACTAAATGAGCTGAACTTGAACTATACATAGTTCGACTCGTTAGGTTCATGAGTCAACTCGATTACATATGAAAAGAATTATACTGTCTTTAAGATTAGGTTTAAATATTTAGTTCAAATCTTAGACAAATTTAATCTTCAATTTAGTAGTTTTTGAATTAGACTCTCAAATGTATCTCTTGAAAGTTGTGTAGGTTTTGAATTAGTAGATTTCGAAGATAAAGTTAAATTTCAATATGATAACTTTTATTTTATTTTAAAAAAATATATATATATTTATTTAAAATGTCAAATATACTAAAAAAATATATATATTTAAAAAAATAGTTTTTAAGTTCGTGAACCATGTGAGCTGAACCTAATGAGATGAACCTAACGAGTCGAACCGAACTGTTCGTGAACTTATAACGAGTCGAGTTTGAGCTTAAAAAAAAGTTCGTGTCAAACTCGAACTCGAACTCGAATTCGAACAATTCTTAACGAGTCGAGCCGAGCTGAGGTGAGTTCGACTCGACTCGACTCATTTCCAGCCCTAAAGTTAAGCATTATTTAATTTAAATAATTTATGGTAGGGGAATGCTAATAAGTGTTTCCGGGTATTGGTTAAGAATTTTTTAAGATAATCTTCCTAAAGAGATGAGGTATTTCTTTTATATAAGTTATATTTAGAGATGAGAATATGTACACCGGTCATATATATATATATATATATATATATATATATATATATATATATATATATATATATATATATATATATATATATATATATATATATATATATATATATATATATATATATATATATATATATATATATATATATATATATATATATATATATATATATATATATATATATATAAAATAAAATTTATATAAAAAAAACAAATAGATAATAAGCTGTGTTGTTATTATTTTTTAGATGATAAAATCTTTATTTTAAAAATTATATTTATAAATTTAGGAGATACAACGTTTTCATGCATAAGTTTTTGGACATTGTAAAAGATTCATTTTCTAGTGTTAGAAAATCAAAAGTGTAAAAAAAATGTATAAAAACATGTTAATTATCAGTACACGCTTTCTCATTTTCACCACTTTACTTGAAGCGGGAACATCTACTTACTTAATTGTCGATCTTCTCTCATATGGATCAATGAAGAAATTCAATGTGTTTTTTTTTACAAATATTTCGACCCACTGAAATATATCAAATAGGACATTTTGAATAAGGTCATGTCGGTATTTGAAATCTAGAAACTCCATACAATGAATAACGTGTTCCAATATTGTATCAAAACACACATTGCGACAAACGAGGCAAACATCGTCAATAAAAAATAAGGGGATCGTGAGACGGTATCTCAAGATAACACGATACTCCACAGGTGATATATGTTGAATTAACTTATCATTAGGAATCGCAAAGTGAAAGTCCCAAGCATGTGCGGTTTGCAAACAATTAAAAGCTTTTTTCTATCTTATGGTCATTTCAAACTTCACATCAATGTCCTTAACACTTTTTTTTTTTAAATTTAGGGTGATAAACTTTTATCAAGTGTATTGAATGTGAAATTTTCACCCCAATAACCATGATTTCTCCCCTAATTTCCATTATACCCAACTTTTCATCATATTTACCAATCTAACCAACTTTGAATTTTTTTTTTAAATTACAAGGGGGCGCCATTGGCATTGGCTCCTCCCTTATAAATTATAGGGGGCGCCATCCAGGTTGGAGGCACCCTATAATTTATAAAGGGGGCGACATCCCCTTTGCCTTCTCCCTTAAATTCGAATTTTGAAAATAGTTTTTATTATATAATAAGTTTTAAAAAATTTAATAAATAATAATTACAATAAAAAAATTTAATAAATAATAATTTTATAAATAAAAATTTTCAAATAATAAATAAAAATTAAATTGTATTTAGTAAACTTAATATTAAAAAATAATTACAATTTTTTTTAATTACAAATGGGTACATATGAGTGATTTGGTACACTAATTTCTACGACTTGGTCGGTTTAAATGTCCGCCCGTACCGCATCCTCGATTACGTACGTTTCTTGGTCGTCTTTGTGGTGGAGTCGGGTCGACCGTGTCGTCTTCAAGAAATTGCATCATTTCGGCCCATGAAGTCGATTTCATCCCCGTAAAGTCATCCAAATCAAAAGGGTTGCCCATGCCTTCATAATTATTTTGGGGTGGTTGGCTGGATGAGGCAATGTTAAGACGATAGCCTGACTGGTCGTAGGGTGACATGGGTGTAAATGTTTGGGCTGGTAAGGGTTGATTTGGTGTTTGAAACTGAGTGTTTATTTGGTTTGTAGTATCCACAGAGTATGTTTGGTATTGTGGTGGATATTGTTGGTATTCGGATTGTGAATAAGTTTGTGTGAATGGGGTGAATTGGTTAGGGGTATGTTCATATAGTTGTGTGAGTGGGGGTTGGGTTGGAGGTTGAAAATGGGGTTGGGTTGGTGTTTGGAAATAGGGTTGGGGCTGGGTTGGTTGTTGGGGTCTTGATGATGTGGCTTGTTGGCGTGGGTCAACAAGATATCTTAGATGCGAAATGAAACCGATGGATACCTCCCTATACCAATTCATGTATTGGATAGTCTGTTTTCTCTCGTGTGGAAACACAGTGTCAGATAAAACAAAATGGCTACGATGCCTCCATTCATGACACTCATGTTTTGCATACTTGGTCCATGGAGAATATTCCCATTGGTCGGAGACTTTACCGGTGTGATATTTATCGGGGATGCATTTCGGCGGACATGGAATATCTTGAAGCATTCCAAATTGAAGCTTTACACGATCACTGTTGTGCATCTCCACGGTTGTGAAGTTGATAATCGGCACCTTTGCACTCCACACTGCAGAGTCGTGTTGGTTAAATTCGTGAATGGCTTCTAGACCAAGATATGGCCGCCAAATAAACTGTAGGAGAAAAAAATAATATTTAGTATTTTCTAATAATATTTAAGGAGACTATATTCTAAATAGGTAAGTTAAGGATACTATATTCTAATAATACTTAGTACTTACATCATCTTGTCCCAAATGATCTATAAAATTTCTGTATTGGGTGATACTGAAATGGGGACAGTTGTCGTAATTCATCCCAAGTGAAGACCACCTACAAATCGAACAGAAAGTATTTGTTAATAATAGGATAAATTAAGTAAAAGACTATGAAAGATCGATCATTCTTGGTCTAAGTAATTACCTTGTAGCGTATGGGAATTCAAAATTATTTTGTTGGATAGGTGCTAGATTGGTCATCCTTGACCATCCCCAAGCTTGAAGAAGAACACCACAATCGGTCCAATTTCCCGAATTTGCTATTGCATTGTTACACAAAGACCGATATAGGTGCGCTAGTATAGCGGACCCCCAACTATATGTTCTTATTTTATCTATATCATCTAGTAAAACTAAATACATAGAGTGGACAGTGTTGCCACTTGTATCGGGAAATAAAAATAAACTTAGTAATAACATAATATAAATTCTTGTTTTTCTTATTTTCAATATTTCTAGTGAATCTTGGGTTAACCTCATTTCTCCAAAAATTCTTTTGAGTCATGATAATAATATTTTTTGGCCCCTCAAATCTCTTGGGGTTGGTTCAACCACTGAGAGTTCTTCTATCACACTACCGCTAGGATTAGTGAGACTGTTTACCGCCTTACCATTAATGGGTAAACCCAATAACATGTGAGTGTCCTCGAGAGTAACTGCACATTCACCTATCGGAAGATGAAATGTATGCGTCTCGGGTCGCCACCTTTCTTGCAGTGCCAAAATGAACTTGGTATCTAGGAGATAATTTGTTATTTTGATGACTTCTCTGAATCCTGCGTGCTCCAAAAATGGTCTAATGATCGGGTCATGTGGGAAATATTTATGCCCACGAGTTCGGAAGTCATGAGTATTCTACAAAACAATAAAACAAATGAGTACAACATTGTATTTGTAAAAATATTATAATGCTTTAAATCAATACAACATTGTGTATTATCGGGTACAAATACTTACATAAGACGCGATGTTGCTTGGTGTTCCTCTATGCGTTTCGCCCAATGTTAACAGGGACATTTCTCCTATAATTTTAATATATGAAGAAGAAATTGGTAGAATTTAAATTGTGGAATATATTTGATGAGTTTTTGTGAATGAGGA